ACATAATCGGTAATATGATTCCAATCAGATTTTATGGCTTTGTGTTTCGTAAAAAAACAACATAGAAAAAAATACTTGCGACCTTGATTTATTTAGGGTGTATGTTCTCATTTTTGTATGTTCTCTTCCATGTTCAGTTTTCAGGATCGCATAGCACCCTGTACATCTATTCGTTTCAGGTATCTTTTTTTTCATTCACATCTATTTCTACATGCTGCTAAACATTTTTTACAAGTTGATAGTTTAATACTTCACATCTGAACCTTAGTACCTTCATTTTGTTTTTTGTCATAAATTGATAGAGAATGTGTGTGTATTGGTCATGGCAGTACCAGTGATTTAGAGTGAGACATGTCTTTGGACCAATAAAATCTGAAAGTCGTGGATTTTTATCTCAACAGCTCCACAGTAAGAAACCCAAAATCACTCCAAATTCGTCAGTTGAAATCAGAAGGTTCATGAAAATCGAAAGGATTTTTTTCCAATTATTAAGCTGTTATTGCTGCTACTGCATCGAAATCGAATACGTTATGGTGACGTCCTGATACAGCAATCCATACGACTTGAGGTACGGTAGGAGAAATGTCTTCTTCATCCTAATCTTCAGAAGATCGCGAATGACATTCCTTATGGCCTGATTATTATAAGATGTAGAAGAACATCGTTTCACAATGTTAATTTTTCGTTGTGTTGAATTCATAGAATCCCAATAGTCCCAATCCATAACGGCTACACTCAATACATTTGCTCCGATAGCTTGTAGCTCGAACTTCCGTGACATAACTGATGCATTTTATGATCCGCATTTCAGTTTGTTGTTGTTTATACAACATCTGAAATCATTCACACTTTTTTGGGGGCATTGTATTGGAATAAGTGCCAGGTTTATTATAACCAATAATCATATACTCTATATTACATTAGCATCAGAATTTTCTTCGAAGTAAAGGGCCATCTTTCACATTAATATCTGAAATTTATTTTCTGTCACAGTGGTGTTCGTGATAATATCTATACTCCTTTATGTCGATATCATCTTGTAGATGTTTGGATAACTTTTCAAACATATTCAGTCAAATGTGCAGCACATACTGCACTTCTTTGGGCATACTTGCATGCATCATTCCATCCATTTTTCTCTGGGTGCCATATTCTGAATACATTTCGAGTGAAAGTCCCATTCTCTTGATGGAGTTGCATACATTTTATTTGGGAAATAATTCAGAGAGAAACTTCAGATACAAATGACTACAGAAAAATATGTTAGATTTCTGTAGGCGATCATAGTTATATTAAATTATCACTTTCGAATATTTTCGGAGGAATCGAATTAATTCCATTGGTGGGCGTAGATCTCCAAAACTATTAGAATATGTGACTTTATTACCACATTTTTAATGCCACCTAGTGTGATCCTCTGGTCCACTTGTTTCATCATAATGCACAATATCTCGTGTTTTCTTGTACCTAAAACACCAAAAGGTGGAATTTCCATTTTGTGTGCATAATAATTGAGATCGATATTGGTGGGAGGTCTCAGAGGTAGTCTAGTTTTCTCACTAGTCTTGTTGTGATGACTTATATGGTTTTCAGTACATTTCATTACCAAGTTGACCCAATGTTACAACCTCTATTTTCTTATTGTGGTGATTGGCCTCGATAAGAGTTGCTCTGCACGCTTTTTCTGAACTTTCAACAGCTTTGGTAATACCTGCATCGGCACTTGCTTTCCTATCGAGAGTGAATAGTCATGCAAAATAGTCCACCGATCTTGAGGATTATAATTATGGTGTTGGGGTACGAATTTTTTTTTTCACCGGTATTTACGTTCCGCCTACAATTCATTTTCAACTACTTTTTTGTCACTCGTCATGAATTGATCGCAAACAAGTTTTCTCAATACATTACGCACTTTATTTACCACCCCAGCACCGAATGCAACTCCCCCGATTTTATTTTTCTTTGATTGTCCTCACTTATAATTTTCTTATTGGTATTACACCTCATACCAACATGTCTCTTATCTTTCATTATATTGGAAACAAGTTAGGTGGCTGCTCTTTTAACCGTATCCCTATCTCGTATCTAATGTGTTATAGATTACAGGGTGGCCAACAGTGCGGTGAATGGCCGCCGAACTACGACGTATCCGTCACACTTTGAGTCAAGGCGTGTTGCTGACATCCAAATGGTACTGCCTTGATAGAATATGAATGCTAGTGGCTGCTTGAGAAGTTACTAGTAAGGCAAGCAAAAAGTATAACCTCAGTTTCCGCGAGAAACTTTATCGCTTATCTCAACAGCCTTCCCTTGTTGTGAATGAATTGCCGACCGCTGGTCAGGTGGAATCCTTCTGGAGGACATCTATGAACATCCGCAGCCACTCAAATTAGACATTCCAGACTTAGCGCAGTTTGAAACTTTCAACAGAGAGCTTTGACTTCCTGAGCTGAATTAAATCCGCTCAATCTGATAACCCCAGATGACCTTCGAAGATCTCTTGTAGGTTCCCAGAACTACGCTACTCTGGGACCAGATGAACATTTATTGATGGAAAAAACCACCAAACACCCACAGCTATCTTGCCAGAGTTTACAAGTCAAGGCTGGTTGGTCGGGGAGCGGACAGTTCTCATCCCCAAGAACGAAGATTCATCGATTTCTAATCATTACAGACCGATAACATAAATTCGTATTATGAGTTATTTACGAGAACACAAATACTCATCACAGTTGAGTCGAACGGCAGAGAGGGTCGAAGAGAAGAGTCACTGGAAGTGGAGAGGACCTGCTCATCGCTAGATGTGTACCGCAGAACTCGATACAGTATAAGCGTAATTTCTCTAGAGTCTAGATTTATATTCACAAGGCATTTGATACAACATCGAATGAGCTCATCTTGCATTTCCTCATATGTCTTGCGATACCCGACAAAATAGTGAGATGCTTTGAACAACGTATACCACTCTGGCGGACTCGCTTCACCGAAACATCTTGTCAGGCTGGAGTCCAAACAGGGTGGGTCACTTTCAGAGGAGAGGTATTTCAGGACGATTCCCTCAGTCCCATTCTCTTTTGTATATGTATCAATTCAACGTAAAGACATGAGAAATGATGTACCTCCATAGGAGTTTGCATTCTAAATCGTCCGTTCCATGGATGTACTCCTTCCGACAATAAGAAGGCCGTGGACATTTGAGTTTGACATGACAGAATGGTACTGGATGAATTCGGTAATGTCATCAGGAGTTCGGATCTCCTTCTATGATGTTTCGCTTGCATGAGAAAGTAGGAGTTGAAGCATTTCTCTTCAGGGCTGCTGCACGAGTAGCTGTTGTACTGGGTTTAGTTTTCGACACTGAACAAAGTGATCACAACTCTGTCACCGAGTTGAAACACATTCAGAAAAAGACCTATATTAAAGCCGTAGAGATAACTCCACTTCTACGGCAACACGAGGATGAGCCAATGCATGAGGTCTTCTTCAACAACATTGAAGTCCTTCACTTTTTTCAGATCGAGTGGGCTGAAATCGGAAACTGAATGATTCATCATGGCATGCCAGGATGGTGTCTTCAACACCTTAGTCTACCGCATTCAAGTAATGTGTATAGAGGTTCGAGCATATGCGTCTATATTTGAAATAATGCAGTCCTAAGAGCACTTTATTACGACCTACGTCACTCTTACGGTATTGAAGATATACCGGTGTTGCCCTAGTCTCTGGGTAAAATTAGATTCGTTATAGAGAATGAGAAGTGCCGAATTCATTGGAACTCTTTCTTCCCCAGCTTCACGATCATACAAGTTAATGAGCCTGATGTAGTTTTCCTTCACCAACAAAGCAAGACGATATTTGTCGTGGAGCGTTCAGCTCAGAATAAAAAACAGAATAAAAAACTAATAAAATATCGATATTTTCTCTTCGATCTCCGCAGACTCTATCCAGACTACTTTGTCGAGATGGTTGTTCTGTTCAATGGATTCCTTGGTGAAATAATGTCTTCTCTTCCCTCGAATCTCAAAATCATGCTGGCTTGCCGCTCCAAGGCAGAACTCTTAGCTGGACAAATGCAGAAGGCTTTCATTCTTGGTTCACTGCGCTCGCTCACGGCCAATAATTCTTGGACCCAATAATCACTTTCCCCACAGGGTGTGTAGTGATAGTCGGTTGACAATGTTGGCATGCTGGAGGTCTTCATTGATTTTCAGTTACAAGTGTACATGTGAATTATATAAATGGGTAAGATTCGGAATAGCAATAGACACGGAAAGAAGCAGACTGTTCCTCATTTTAGGCTTCCTGAACTGTGGGAATAAGATTGGTTGAACAAAATCATAAATGTATGTTTTTAAGACTATAATTTAATATGATCAACAGGTGATAAATGAATGGAAAAATGTACACATCACTCTATTCTGAATAAAAAAAATAACAGTTATGCTATTACAAACGTTATACAGAGAAGTGTGCACTTAGACAAGGTGGTACCCACGTTATCGCGTTTGAAATTCTCGACAACACTCAGAGTTACTATTCAAGGCTATACGGAGGGATGTAAATGTAGAAGTAGAGGAAAAACGAGAGAAAGAGGAAGTTAGCATTGATAAAATCTGGCTTCATCTACTCAATTGCTCCCGTATCAGGTTATGACTTTCAGCCAAGAGGATTCAGCTCACGCTCACCATGAATGGGATAAATCTAGAAACCCATTTCAATTTCATAATATCTGCTTGGAGAATAACTAGAATACTTAATTCCTTCGAGAATGTCTTCCGTAATCATAGACGGAGCATCAGGCATCAAAACCTGCAAGCCACGGTCAACAATCTCGAACAATCACTTAGACAGAGTCATCCCCGGCTGTGAAAGTTTAAATTCTATAAATACAATATTCCCACTTCTATAAAAAAAATACAATTTTGGTGGAAAACGGTATCAAAACTATTGCATGAGATGCAAATCTATTCAGTTTCATATGAAATGTGTTTCTTTTCTAGAATAACTTAGGCCACAACACTGATGGAATCGGCGTATGGGGAGAAAACATAATCGTCAAGAACAGCGTTGTGAGGAATCAAGACGACTGTTTTGTTATGGCTCGTGGACGGGACATACATGTCAGCAACCTATACTGTTCAGGAGGCCACGGGATCAGTATGTCGGTGGGTCTGAGCAAAACTTCCTTTGAAAGCAATTTCGTTCAAAATGTCACCTTCAAAGACATCACCCTTGTTAATTCGGACAATGGAATTCACCTCAAAACACACAAAGACGGTGGTCCGGGACTTGTGGAACATATTACCTATAAAAATATCACCTTGAAAGGTGAGTAGTTCCAGTGGAGTATGCCGGTTCACGAAAAAATCTTGATACACGGAGGTGTTGTTCTTTAGAATCGATATTTCCAATCGATACTGTTGAGAACCCGTTTCGGATTAACCGGAAATGAAGTCAAAATTTTCAGATTCAACTATATATATTTCTCGGATGTTGTAACAGATGAATTGTGAAATTTTATTTCCAACGATATGATAAAAGTTTTGTTTTTCAGTGGTGTTATAGGAGCCATCTTCTCGAAATTCATATTTTCAAACAACTTAACGTTGTGAAAACAGAAGACGATGTTTTCTTAGTGTTTCGAAAAAAAGAAATTTGAATTCGTCAAAAATTTTTTAACTTTAATATTCAAATTTCAGTCATCTCGAGTATATTGTATAGTGAAAACGCGTTGCGATTTTGTGACCGGTCCAGTTAAAATCATATAATGGAGCATTCTTTCTATACGTTATGGAATTTCATGAATTATTGGCCAATTCCATCGTATTGGAAAAAATTTTGAAAGTACAGATTTGACACTATCTAGAAACTTATAATCTCCTGACACACGATCAATCTGAATTTTGGCAACATCACAGTTGCACTTCAGTGCTTCTTGTTGTTGAAGATTTGTTCGATAATAATGAGTCGACTTTCCTTGATCAGCCTGTATTTTGTTTTCTTTAATCGGCTTCACTTTTTCTACTGGATTACTTAAAGGTGCTTAATCGCATCAATCATAAACCTCTACTTTCAGATCGATTTCAACCCCATCGGAATGGAGGATGGAGATTTGGTATATCTGTGTCTCACAAATGGTGTTCCTCAAGGCTCCATTTCACGGCTTTTACTCTTCACGGTATATGAAGCACACATTTCTAGTTGTCCATTCCACTGTCACTCTGTCAACATCATCATTGATTATTTGTATAATCTATATATTCTAAAGGGCCGATTGATAATAATGCTCCCTTTCTAGCGGTCAAGATTATTTTTTAATATATATGACCACACTGTGAAATCGCAGAGCAAACCCTTCGAGTCCATCTAGGATTTGCATTCTGTCAAAGGCTATGTCATGGATGTTTTCTGAATGTGTGCTCTGCAACTGCCAAATTGGTTCGATTGGCCAAAGCAAGACTTTTTCGTGGTCTATTAAGCGCGTTTTCATCCTACTTTTCATGGTTGCGAAATACAAAAAGCCACAATTAGAAGGTTGTACTCGATGAATCTCTGGAGTCTTCAACTGACCTGAGATTATTGTCAATTAGTTTTCTGGGTTTGAAAGTGGTTTCTCCACCATGTTTATCTGAGATCCCTTCGATACGTTCGGTTGTACCTTTTATTGAAGGTCAGTTCTGGTACCACAGAAGGGTGTTTCTAATTGGGTCGTAGGGCTCGGTTGATTTCGGTACGCATTACCCAAAAATGCATTAACCATGTGACTCATTTCATTTTGTAGTTCTTTCGATTACAAATATATCTTGCCCTTTCTGCCAGAGTCATGATGATCCATTTTTGGTTGGAGTTCATTTTCGAATAACAGTCTGTATGATACGGTTTTCTGTGTGCATTTCTATTTCCCGAGAACCGATTCCTTATCTGTCTCTTTCTTCATCTTCAATTGAATTATTGGATTCCAGGAATCGATATATTCAAGATGATCTTTCACAAGACTCGAAACGATCATAATATCAGTGACATGGTGAGTTTTGATATCGTACACAATGGTTTCTGTTACAGATATCTCGCCTTTCTTGAACATCGCCTCATTATTTTCTTAAACCTGGCCAACTTAGTTTCAGTGAGACTGAAAACTTTATAATCAAAAACAAAAAGCGTAATATGAAGTCTACTAATAATTGAGTAGAACTGGCCGATACTTGATAATATTCATATCAAAACTCATGAATACAGTTTATTGTATGATTTTCCCTATAAAGGGTTTCAATAAAAACCGCGACACGAGTTTCGCCATACAATTTTCACAAAAACAACATTTGATGAGAATCTGAATTGATACTAATTAATACAGTTTATTGTATGCTTTTCACTATAAAGGGTTCACAAAAACAACGGAATACATTAACTTTGTACGCTTCAATAAAAGCTTGAATGATCACTTTGTACTATTCGAATTGAATAGAACTGGCCAACATTTGATGAGAATCTGAATTGATACTAATTAATACAGTTTATTGTATGCTTTTCACTATAAAGGGTTTACAAAAACCACGACACGTGTTTCGCTATACAATAGCTTTCTCAAGTGCTTGTGAAACCCTTTATAGTAAAGATTATACAATGAACTATATTAATTAGTTGTAATACTTCTTTCTAAGTATTTGATAGTTATAACTAATTTTTAATAATATTCATTCCTCAGATATTGACCAGCAATCAAACTGTTCTAGGTATTAGACGATATGGTATAGAAATCCAACAGGATTATCCAGAAAATGATGGAAAACCAACAGACAATATTCCAATAAGAGACGTGACGGTGATTGGAGTGAGGGGCACTATGACTGGTAAACATTCTGTTCCAGTTAGGGTTTCGTGTAGTACTGGAGCTTGTGCTAACTGGAACTGGTCAGAGGTTGATATTAAAGGAAACCATAAGCCCTGTTCTATGAATTTTAAACCTAACGGGTTCTCTTGTTGACTTCCCACAAGACAAAATAAATCTTTCGAAAACACTTTTCCAACACCGAAACAAAATTAGATTAGAGATGATAATATGTTTGATGGAAAAATATACGGCTATTGTACTCTAATTTTAAAACTTAATAAAATAGTAGAACTTCACAAAAATGTATATTTTATTGTTTCATTTCCATGAAATATGTTTTTATGCTTGCGCGGAAAATCTATCGTAACAACGTAATTAGACATGTTCAGTTTTCATGATTCTAAAAAATATATTATTGTTCATCTGTTTATGGATACGAAGGTTCCAAATGACGAAAGAACACGAATACAAGTTCGAATTGAAAGATGTGGTATGTATTTCAGAAGAGATACGTTTTGGAAAAAGCTTCTTGAGTTTCTACTTCTCCATCTCTATACAAAAAGTGTAATGAACTTCAAAGGTGGCTTTTTTCCATTCATATCAGAGAATAACTTTTGTACTTGATCTACCCATCTCTGTAAAAATTCTATTCATATCCTGATTGCTTTCTTCTTCCTTTCGGAATTTTCACACATTTTCCGTATGTAAACATAAAAGAATTTATTTAAAAAAAAATTTGTCATGAATACTAATATGGAAGAAAATGAATTGAAGAGATAAATGTGTTTCAAATGCTAACAAAAAATAAAAGGTACAAGCACCTTCTCATGAAACATATTATTTTTCCAACTTAGACGAAAGTAATTATTTTAATACATAGAAAACTACGGAAAACAATATAACATTATGGATATGTGAAGTAGTGAACTGAAAATTCTTTTTTTATCTCAGTTTGAACTCTGGACTCCAAGTATGGTTACGTGATCTGTAGAAATACTTGAAAGCAGATAATTTAATTTTTTTATATTGCATACTGTCATATAATCATCAAGAAATGTTTGCCTCACTAAACGAATATAGATTGATGATATAAAAACGTAAAAATCGATATCGAGAAAAACTTCATTTCTCTGAGAGAAATTTACATTCCCATATCTCATACCATTCCAAAGAAAAGTTGGAGAAATTAACTGTATACTATATCCCTACATCATTTTCCATCTCAGTTTTCGTGAAAACACGTATTTCTGAATAGCAGATACAGATAAATATAGACAGCCCATTTGAAATAATCGAAAAAATATCGTATCAAGCTATAACACTTCAAAAAAGACAACGTTCTGAGAAATAAAACACTTTTATTTCTGACCGGGATATTATAAGCTTATATCGTCATAGTTACGCTATCAATAAAGAGGGTCATAACTCCCTTGGGACATTATAGATTTTATAATTCCCTCTACCCTTCACAAGTAAAAATAAATAGAAATGAAAACTGAACCATATTTTATTTATTCACGTCATTACAAATAATAAATGTACAATTTTGAAATGTTCCCTGAAAATTACTTCCGCCACTGGAAACAATTTCTTCTTTTGTATGGCTGGAGCTTTGTCCCTCGGGCCAGAGGCCCTCGGGACGCAAACTTTGCCATCGGTAATTAAGGCCCTCCTAATTCCCTTGATACATAAATAAGTATTTTGTACAACTGTCATCAAAAGTGACATTTTTAATGTTTTTCAAGAATATTTGAAGATGATGTTCACAAAGTAGTGTGTTGAAAATATTTTTAACGCTAGCAATAAACAAAACATGATTATTAAATTTTCAAGAAAGTTCTATCATGAACAATAAATATAGATACAATTATTTTCTGCTACACATGTATTGTAAACATCAAACACCAGCAAGAACTTTTAATAAAACGCGTGAGCTGTAAACAATACTGTTTGTTGGTAAACAGGTGATTCTGCATCACCTGATACGGCCACTTCACAGCAAATGCGATCACATGAAAATAGTTAACTAACAAGAGATATCAAAATATCTTTTTTTAGAAATATCAAATTTACCTGTTTCATTATGAAAACAGGACAATTGTACGAAAAGCTTTGTATGATATTTGTGTTAAAAGTAATTTTTATTTTATTCGTGAAGTTGCTCAAATCGCTACGCTCGTTTCGCAAACTTTTTTACTCACAAAATGAAACCTTATATTCAACACTCATATCATAAATAGCTTTTTCAATTCGCATTCGATTCTGAACTAGTAAGTGAAATCATATTACAAATTTTCGAAAAAGGTATAATAAAAACGAAATTCTGTTTGTTACCTCTCTTTCTGAATAACTTCAGCCTACAACACTTCGTAATATCTTTGCCAAATGGATCCCATTGCACATAGGAATACGAGGTAGTGAATAAGTTGATGAACCAGCCATAGAAGCAGTTACCAGCGCAATTTCTGAAATTGAAATCAAAAGGATGACAGGCGACATGCAGAATTCAATTAAATAGACCATGCTGGTCTCATGGCAGAACCGTTGGCAAGGATCAACACGTTGCTAAGAGAAGTGAAAAGTTCCGTAAAACCATGGACTACATTACCTAAACATCGAAGGACCAAGTAATTCTAGTTAGGCCACACACGTCTAACTCACAAGTATTTACTTAAAAAAAAACTAACATGCGAAGCGTGCGACGTGGATCTGACTGTAAAGCAACTCCTCAGTGATTTTCCACTCTGCAACCAGCAGAAGAAGGATAATGGAATACTATTATTATCTTTGAAGGATACGCTAGGCCCTAATTGTGCATTTGATGAATTTTTGTCTTTTCTGAATTCTAATCAAATAACAAGTAAACTATAATCAGAAACGTTGATAACCAATTTGGTTGATGCCTTTCTTCAAAAAAAAAAATTGTTTCCATGATATATTCATAGTAAATGGCAGCGTCTCGTATACTTTGGTTTGAAAAATCCTACAAAAATAAATCGTTGCATTTGAATGACCTTTCTTAGTTTGGTTCACATGTACTCATTTTAGCTCTTTTTGGTGAAATTTTTCAGCCCTGTCCAAAAATTACGACCAAGGTGTCATTCGATTCGTATTTTTGCCTAGAAAGTTTAAGGAAAGGTCCGAAAACGCGCCGATAAAAATTACAAAAGTTATAAACAATCAAGTGAAAAAAATTAGGCTTTATTTTTTTCTTAATATCTCGGAAAATTTTTAAAATTTTGGAAATTTGAAAAAAGATTTGAANTCCTCTTTTCTGACGATATTCGTCTCGCCAGGAGCTGAAAACTCCACGACAAATATCGTTTTGGTCTGGTGGTCGAGAAGGACTACATCAGGCTTATTAGCTTGTATGAGCCTGAGGGTGGGAAACGAATAGTTCCAATAAATTCGGCACTTCTCGTTCCCCACAACGGATTCAATATCCCCCGGAGCGTAGGACAACACCGGTGTCTAGTCAGTACCATAAGAATGTCGTAGATGGTAATATAGCACTCTTAGGGCCGCTTTATGTCGATGGATATACGAGACCGCATATGCTGGACATGCTGATAGCAAGTGCATTAGTGCAGCCACTCGAGCTGAGAAAAGCGAAGGTCAGGCGCTTTGATAAGCCGAAGTCTCCAATGTTATTGAAGAAGACCCCATGCATTGGCTTATCCTTGTGTTACCGCAGGAGTTAGGTGATCTCTGCGGCTTTTATCTGAGATTTTTGCTGAACAGGTTCCAACTCGGTGACAGAGGTGTGGTCTTTACGTCGAGTTGATTCAGCTCCTCCCGAGTCCACTTCACTACTCCAAACGGGTAGAGTAAGATTGGAACGGCAAACATATTTGTTGCAGCAACTTTGTTCTTTCCCGACAGTTCCGATGACCAGATCTGTCGAAGTTTGTGCTGATACTTGCCGCGGAGAGAGTTTTTCACTGCAGTTACCTCTTGTGAGTGGCGTTGTTCCACCCCGAGGTAAGTATACGTCTCTCCGGCATCCAGATGGTGTAG